CAGCGTTTGAATGTCAGGATTATTATTACAATGGATTATATTAACATGCTTTACAATAAATAATTCTAGTCGAGAAAATTAAATAGTCTGTTAATCATAATAATTTGTCGTCAAAGTATTCTTGTATTGAGTAATAGCATTTATTCAAAAGCCAGATATTCAACTTTTTTTTTAAACAACTCTAGCGGCAACAGTTTAAAAAATTCAGGTAACTTATTATATATTTTAATAGCCATACAATAGGGGCTTCGTTTAAATAATTGCAGTCTTATGCTAGGAAACATTATTCTACTTTGGTGTCTCGTTTGCTTATTTTTATATTGGCCTCTTGTAACAAAATATTGAGGGTTTTGTTTTACAAATATACACATTTGTTTTATGTACAAGCATGGTAATGGTAAAATTTTAAGTTGTAAGAATAAGGGTTTACAAGACTCCAAAAAATGTGCTCTGCAAATTGCCCTTATACATTTTTTTTGTGCTATGAAAACTTTGTTTATATCAACTGAGTTACCCCATAACAAAGTACCGTAGTTGAGTAGGGACGACACATAACCATGATACGCAGAAATAGCAGTTTCGGTAGACGAAATATTACTGAGACGTCGTAAAGCGTATACAAATTTATTAATTTTTTTACATAATTTTTCTATATGTGCTTTCCAGTTACAATTCTTGTCTATAGTAAAGCCAAGAAAATTCACATCGTTTTTCATGTCAACAGTTTCACCATTATATTGGACCAACAAATTTAATGGTTTTGCCTTGTAGGAAGAAAATTGAACAAAATTTGTCTTCTCAATGTTTATTTTAAGGTTGTTTAAATGGAGCCACTCTATCAGACTCTTTAAGGTTTCATTAATATCGTCATTAAATTTGTTTTGGTCATTACATTTTATCAACACAGTGGTATCGTCTGCAAACATAAAACATGTATGTTTTGTTACCTTAGGCAGGTCATTAATGTATAGTAAAAACAGTAGAGGTCCTAGCACACTGCCTTGTGGCACTCCACAGGCGTTTATTCGATATTTAGACCTGAAAGTAGTTGTTTAGTGTCGTTTACATTTGTTATTTCCGTACATTGTTGTCTATTCGTAATATAACTTTCCAACCAATCGTAAGCATTACCTCTAATACCATAGCTTACTTAGGAGTCTCTTGTGAGGAACAAAATCGAATGCTTTGCTCATGTCTAGAAATAAAGCAACGATCGGTATCCTACTATTAATACTTTCTGTTATTAAGTGTATTACATTGACTCGCACGAAAACCTAAAAATAGTCCGGATTTTTATGTCCTCGTAAATCAATCCATAATTTAACACGGACTGTCTTCAAATACCTACCACCCATGATCAAACACAAACACGATATCCTACTAACTATGGCATTTAAAATACCCTTTAAAAAGGTTGTCACCTTTCCAAAGCCTATCATAACAGGACAAAGTAAGTCTCAAACTCTATAATGACCACATCTCTAAAAGTATTCCGTTTGTTCTCGTTTCGGGGGTTTATAGAAAGCATTGCCAGACAATAACATTTTATTGGGCACGATGCAGTTTGAAGCACAAAGAGAATTTAAACTGGTGCATTTGTGTTTACCGTATGGAGTAGAAAGCAAGCACGTTTTGAGCGTTCCGCTGGAAATACCGGGTATTCTTGAGTGTATAACAGTTATCGTTGAACGATGGAAGTACTCGTATGTGGCGAGAGCATTGTTATCGTTATAATGGAGTAACTGGAATATCGTGGATGCTGTCAAAGAGCACGAACATTTTACTCTGCAAAAAAGGGTTGTTAGATCTTGCGCTGGTCACTTCTATGGAAAACCTTTATTTTTGTCTATCATGTAGTACATTAAAATTTAAGCCGAGTTGCACCATCTTACTTTAACATTGACAAACGTCAAAAATCTGTCAAACTCCATACTAAAAGCACCGGTTATTGTCATTGTTACGGTTAAATTAAGGTGGTGAAACTCAGCCCTACAGTTGTATTTGGGTTAAGAGAAGAGATTAAAATATTACACACAATGTGAATATACTTACCCTTAACTTTGGTATTTACTCTTATTTCCCGGGTGCAATCCCATGTAGGGCATGTAATATCGGAAGGTTTTCAATTCCGATATTGGATTCCGATATTAGATCTCAATATCGGAATTCCGATATTAATATCGGAATTGAATTCATATGCTATAAAATTAATATTTGGTTATATTCGTAAGAATTCTGGATTGTTTACAATAAAATAATGATTTTAATGAAAATCTTTAATTTGGTACAAAACAGCACTTCATAATATTGAAGTATTTTAAAACCATTGTTACGTTATGGGTATCTATTGCATTTGGTTTTTTATGTGACAAGAGGCAAACGAGCAGACGGATCACCTGATAATGAATGGTTACAGATAATGAGCCTATATGGACTAGCACATAATTAAAGTGTTTTTGTAAAATCACAGGTATCAAACAAACTTTTACTCCTTCATTATATTACCCTGTTTTATGTTGGCGGAATGAATTTTAGAGTCATTCAAATCACGTGTTACAAAAATTGTAGAGAGTGGTAAAAAACTTGAATATGCTTGTAATTTGTTCCTTTTTGATTATCGATGTACAACTCACAAAACCACTAGCCAGCCATATGTCAGCCAAAGGACGTCCACTGCTGAACACAGGCTCCGATGCTGATTTTCACAATGGCCAGTTGGTGGCGGCCTGCATCCAGGGCCTTCCTGCTACCTTTATGAGGTCGTCGGTCCACCTTGTGGTTATAAGTCCTACGCTGCGCTTTCCGGTACGTGGCCTCCACTTCAGAACCTTGCTGCCTCATCGTCCGTCTGTTTTGCGTACTAAGGCAGAACCGTTGGAAGATCTTATCACAATGCTCGAAGACCTTAATCGAGTTTCCCAACAGGTAGGCCTTCGGATGTATATGGAAAAAACGAAGCTTATGTCGGATGTCCATGTTGCTCCTTACCCAGTTTCGGTTAGGAGCTCGATTCTCGAGATTGTTGACAAGTAAAGTTAAAGTATGTCTATCTCGGACAAACGATCAGCTAGGTAGTTAGATGCAATTTCGAGAAAGAGGTAAATTGTCGAATACGAAGACGAAAGTCTTCAATTAGTGTGTGTTACCAGACCAGTGATGATATACTGCTTGAAAACGTGGCATTTGAATATAGGGCACAACGTGCAATGGAGAGGGATAAGCTTGGTGTTTTTTTACGAGATCTAATCAGAAATGAGGAGCTCCGTAAATTAACTAAGGCCGCTGACATAGCCCGACAGATTAGCAAGGTGAAGTGGCAATGGCAGGACACATAGTACGCAGAACTGACGATCCATAGTCCAGTAAAATTAATGTTTGAAAGGGAGTTGAGATGTCGTTCTTTGTTGACCAAGCACCTATGGCAAATGCTTAAATTGATTTAGAACAAGTTAAATTAACCATAAATAGTAAAGATATTAAAATATTTGCAGTGGAACAAGAAGTGATGGTGAGAGACATGAGAAAATCATTGGTCTTTGCCTATCATGTACTTTGGGCTTTGTGGCAGGTTGTGGCGAGTTTAAACGCTTTGTTTAAAATCTCAATTAAAACTTTTATCTGATTCCGATATTACGATATTGGGTCGCTCAATATCGGAATTGAAATATCGGATCTCGCAGTCCGAGATTCCGATATTACGAGATTCCGAGATTCCGATATTCATGCCCTAATCCCATGTCCATTTTGGTGACACTGGCAATATTTCATCTCTCTCACTTATACCACTATACCGAATAGCTTTTGGAGTTTTATTGAATAGATAATGAATTATAAATATTGCATCTGAGTGACATCTAAATATGTGACTTCGCTCTCTATTGATTCTACATTTAATTAATACTTAACACGCAACGTGAAACAGTAATTAAATCTCTATGTTCCTACGAAAAGCGAGCACTTTTCGAATTAATTAAAATCGGCTTGGTTAGTTAAACTGATATTCTATTATAACGATATTCTTGTATAATAATACCTATAATAAAACTCGTTAACATTTACAACGATAACTGAAAATGCTAGTGCGATGGTAATAATCCGAGTAGAATGCTTGCGTATTCAAGACATATTTGCCTATACGTTATCTACTTGCCTAGTCTCCAAAGTATAAGTAAATTGTACTTTATTTAGGACTAAGGCTCTGCGCAAACTGGCCACTTATCATAGCCACGGTGGTTGGCAACAACCTGTTTAAATGATTTTTATCACGTATTGTATGGAATTCTTACACAGTCATGTAAGAGTGGCGTCCACTCATAAGCCACTGGTGGCTGCCACTCGCTACACCGCGATAAGTTACCGGTGGCGGCCACTCTATACAAATCTACAAATTGTAGCTCTTCGCCTTACAAGGTGGTATTTACTGAGAAAGGTTTTCAGTCATACTGTATGACTGTCTCATGACTCATACATGAACTCGTACTGCCTTAGGCCCTTTTCACATGTCCCGGTTGCCGGCTAACCGGCGCCGGGTACCCGGTGGTGAAGTGTATGGGCATGGTACGTAGCTTTCACATGTACCGGCATAATTAATCCGGGTACTCGGCGCCGGTTAGCCGGCAACCGGGACATGTGAAAAGGGCCTTAGTAGTTCGGCGGAGTCCGTCATCAGCCCTGGGATGACCTGCAACCCCTAGAGATACAGCGCCGAGAAATGGTCCGATCGCGAGGGGCGACGTCAACAGTAGGTGTGCTCGCTAGCGAGTGCTTAAAAAAATCTATGAGGGTTTACTAAAACTTTCAAGAACTATCTTGAAAGTAGCCGCTAGAGGCGCTGTACAATTTGTCATACATTTAATGTAATTTTTTCACGTAGTCGCTAGCGAGCACACCTAACGTAAACTCATGGTAAGAACACTAAATAAACTGTTCTCAGTTACCTACTTGCAACATTTACCTATCGTTAGAAATCTTCTCGTACTAACAGTACCTTTATTTCGCAGTATGTACGGAGCGTCAGGCGCGGCCCCCAGAGAGGCGCGGGGGCCGGTGCGCGAGCGGCCCGACGTGCTGCCCGCGCCCGCGTCGCTCGACGAGGCGCCCGCGCTGCCGCGTCCCGGCAAGGACAGCGTGGCGCGCCTCACGCTCACAGGCCTTTCCTATGTTGTTACCGTGAGTATATAGTCATTAGGTTCTAATTCCTTTGACAGCAGGGCAACAGCGCTTAAAATTTGATGCTTATGGCTTGTAAGAGCTCCGCCGGCGTCGCTTGACGAGGCGCCCGCGCTACCGCGCCCCGGCAAGGACAACGTGGCGCGCCTCACGCTCACAGGCCTTTCCTATGTTGTTACCGTGAGTATATAGTCATTAGGTTCTAATTCCTTTGACAGCAGGGCAACAGCGCTTAAAATTTGATGCTTATGGCTTGTAAGAGCTCCGCCGGCGTCGCTTGACGAGGCGCCCGCGCTACCGCGCCCCGGCAAGGACAACGTGGCGCGCCTCACGCTCACAGGCCTTTCCTATGTTGTTACCGTGAGTATAGACTTTATTTGTAAGGTGTTAGGGCTTAAGATATGGCAATATGGGCCCGACGTGCTGCCCGCGCCTGCGTCGCTCGACGAGGCGCCCGCGCTGCCGCGCCCCGGCAAGGACAGCGTGGCACGCCTCACGCTCACAGGCCTTTCCTATGTTGTTACCGTGAGTATAGACCTTATTGGTAAGGGGATAGGGTTCAAGATATGGGCCCGACGTGCTGCCCGCGCCGGCGTCGCTCGACGAGGCGCCCGCGCTGCCGCGCCCCGGCAAGGACAGCGTGGCGCGCCTCACGCTCACAGGCCTTTCCTATGTTGTTACCGTGAGTATAGACTTTATTGGTAAGGGGATAGGGTTCAAGATATGGGCCCGACGTGCTGCCCGCGCCGGCGTCGCTCGACGAGGCGCCCGCGCTGCCGTGCCCCGGCAAGGACAGCGTGGCGCGCCTCACGCTCACAGGCCTTTCCTATGTTGTTACCGTAAGTATACATGCTTAAGGTTCTAATTCCTTTGACAGACACAATTATTGCAATGTACACAAGGTTCAAAATGTTTAAGCAAGATTAAAGACGCACCCGCCCGCGCCGCTGCCGCGCCCCGGCAAGGACAGCGTGGCGCGCCTCACGCTCACAGGCCTTTCCTATGTTGTTACCGTGAGTATAGACTTTATTTGTAAGGTGATAGGGCTTAAGATATGATGGCAATATGGGCCCGACGTGCTGCCCGCGCCGGCGTCACTCGACGAGGCGCCCGCGCTGCCGCGCCCCGGCAAGGACAGCGTGGCGCGCCTCACGCTCACAGGCCTTTCCTATGTTGTTACCGTAAGTATACATGCTTAAGGTTCTAATTCCTTTGACAGACAAAATTATTTCAATGTACACACGGTTCAAAAATGTTTAAGCAAGATTAAAGACGCACCCGCCTGCGCCGCTGTCGCGGCCTGGCAAGGACAGCGTGGTGCGCCTCACGCTCACAGGCCTTTCCTATGTTGTTACCGTGAGTATAGACTTTATTAGTAAGATGTTAGGGCTCATAATATGGTGGCAATATGAGCCCGACGTGCTGCCCGCGCCGGCGTCGCTCGACGAGGCGCCCGCGCTGCCGCGTCCCGGCAAGGACAGCGTGGCGCGCCTCACGCTCTCAGGCCTTTCCTATGTTGTTACCGTAAGTGTATGGGCTTAAGGTTCTAATTCCTTTGACAGGCACAATAATTTCAATGTACATAAGGTTCAAAATGTTTTGGCAAGATTAAAGACGCATGCGATTTCATAGTGAACAATATGGTTTCACCAAGGGTCGTTCCACCACCGATGCAGGGGTTGCACTACTTAAACATATCTTCGAGGCTTGGGAGAATTCTCAAAATGCACTAGGGGTCTTCTGTGATCTCTCAAAAGCTTTTGACTGCGTAGAACATCAAACGCTAATTCGCAAACTGCACTATTATGGGGTAAAGGACTCGGCTTTGGATTTAATACAATCCTATTTAAACTTTAGAGTTCAAAAAGTTGACATAAATGGTGTTTTGTCTTCTGGGTCACCTGTGAAAATGGGAGTTCCGCAGGGGTCCATTCTGGGTCCATTCTTGTTTCTTATATACATTAATGATCTACCATATTTTGTTAAGGACTCTTGCGAAATCGTGTTATTTGCTGATGACACATCTTTGATTTTTAATATCGATAGAAGTAAAAATAACTTTGACGATGTAAATAATGCACTAACAAGAGTTTTAAGTTGGTTCACTACAAATAATTTACAACTCAATGCAAAGAAAACAAAATGTATAAAATTCTCTTTGCCTAACGTAAAAACAGTTAGTACACAAATAGAACTTAATAATAATGCAATCGATCTGGTAGACTCTACTGTATTTCTGGGAATTACCCTGGATTCAAAACTCCAGTGGGGCCCCCATATAGAAACTCTGGCGGGAAAGCTCAGCTCAGCGGCTTTTGCAATAAAAAGGATACGGTCATTAACCGATGTTTCAACAGCTCGCTTAGTCTACTTTAGCTACTTTCATAGCCTAATGTCATATGGAATCATGCTATGGGGCAAAGCTGCAGATTTTGAAACAATATTTATTTTGCAAAAACGTGCGATAAGATACTTGTATAAAATGAAAGCAAGAGCATCCCTTAGAGAATTGTTTAAAGAAATTGGCATTCTCACGGCCGCTTCACAATACATCTTAAACTGTATTCTATTTATTCAAAAAAATATTACTGAATTCAAAAAGAAAAGTGATATTCACCAAATTAACACTAGAAATAAAAATAAATTGGCTATACCCGCTTTTAGACTTAATAAAGTGTTTGCTACTTTTATGGGACAAGGTATCCATTTTTATAACAAAGTCCCTGATAAATATAAAGAGCTACCGTATAATAAATTTAAAGATATAGTTAAAGATCACATGCTTAAAAAAGCCTATTATACAACTCGAGATTTTCTTAATGATAAGTCATCCTGGGAGTAGGATTATGGTCCTCTCATGCTCGCACTAAAAAGAATTAAAATGAAAAGTAATGTATAAACTAATAATAATTTCTCAAATGTTATAGTGTCATGCTTCTCAATCTGGACTGTTACTTAGCTTTATTATTAGTTTTTTTTTTAAAGAGATAACTTGGAATTGTCATTCTCACTAAAATGTCTCTGGGGTGGTGGCGTAGTGAGGCGGGTCGTTACATTCCCTCTAATATGGTCGAGTGAAGCGATGGCTGGTTCACTCGTCATGTCTGTGAACAGGCGCTGCTTTCGGGGACTGGTCAATCCAAGTTATTCAAATTTATGTATGCGAGTCATTTCTACTAGTATCTTAATATGTAAGTCTAGATATTAGCACGTCACTACCTTGTTTAATATACCACGCAATCTTGTATACCCATTCTTATAAGATACACCATACAAGAATGCATGGTAAATTCAGTGAACTGCTCCTGAATCGAATGTACCTACTACTACTATTTCTATTTATTTATATTAACCGGCAGACAGTGGTGACTGAGTTTGTTGCGGCGCTTCTTCTCAGCACTTGCCAAATGTTGGTCTCGAAGCGCTGGTAGGGTAAAAAGATTATGAGACATGTAGAGGCTCCTTAAGAGCAAAATGACGATTTGTAAGAACTATTTATTAGTCCAAACAAATAAAGAAATTTTGACTTTGACTTTGACTACTTAATGTTCAGCCTCTTAAGATAATTTTAGTTAATAGACTTCATGATGTAGGATTCATAGTTACATTTAACATTTATGTGAGCTAATTTCATAACCATACAAGTAGATATAACAAAGTTTTATAAAACACCATTGGATCGGAAGTCAGTATTTTATAGCATAATGGATTCATGGTTTAAAAATGTCTCCATCCAAATATCCTTTGGCTTCGCTCCAAAACTGTTGTCAATAGAACCGGCTGTCCTCCCCATGAACAAATCGTTGCAGCAGCATGTCCATACCAGTAGGCCTAAGATGCGCGCCGTGATAACTTTTATCGACGTCAAAATGTATGGGCAAATACGATAAAATGGCGTGATAACCGCTTATCGCGGCGCGCATCTTAGGCCTACAGTACGTTAGTAATTTGTTAATTTTATCACGAGTCTAGACTCCCAACTTCAATATTTATAGGAATACTACAAAACTGCGAAATTTGACAAGCAAAATAAAAGTAAACGCTGCACGCTGGTAAAGTATTCACTTTGAAGATTCCTTCAAGAACGTTAACAATTAAGTATCTCAACTAATTATGAAAGATCAACACTGATGTCTGATACTCGTTAATAGACAAAGACAAACTTACGTGTTTTTAATAGCCGCTCTATGAAAAGCATAATATCAATGGTTCAAACAGAAAAATAATTTCCAGTCACAAGTCTTATTTTTTTTGTTGTTTGGATTCCTAGCAAAGCTTGCAATAGTAGCCAGACTGATTATTTGTAATTTTTAACCATTTTAAAATATTTCCTTACCAAGTTTTAGCTCTATATTTGTGTAAAATAATTCTATGTGAAGCTGCAAACAGTGGGTGGTTTATTTACCCACTTGTAAGCAGAAGAAGGTCAAGCCCACACGCATATTACAAAATAATTATGGATTCTTGAAATGAGAACAATTTATTATTTTGATACGGCCATTACGAATGCTTTTAACTAAACATCGGTACATTCTTGTAAGACACGAAATAATATTATAGTAAATTGGATATTGCAGGCTTTAATATTAATCCAATTTGTTTAATAATATCGTATTTTAAAGGCCACATCAATGTTACTTTGATGTGTGTAGAACATGTAAAATCGACACGAAAAAGACGCTGCTGTTTTGTTGGTAATCCTACTATCCTACTAATATTATAAATGCCAAAGTTTGTGTGGATGTCTGGATGTTTGTTATTCTTTCACGCAAAAACTCCTGAACGGATTTTGTTGAAACTTTACAGTATTATTGTTTATAACCCAGATTAACATATAGGCTATAATTTATGACGATCTATGACAAACAAAATTTCACGCGGGTGAAGCCGCGGGCAAAAGCTAGTATGAAGTATAAATGAACATTATGTACTTAAGCTTTCGCAATAGATGAGTGTACATAATATGCTCATATAATCCATGATTAGGAGATTAGTAGAGA